CAGCATTTCCGCTTCATGAGGGCTCTCTCCTCAGCACTGCCTGGCTTTTAAAGTCAGCCCTCGTTAAGACTCATGCTCTCTTTGGTCTAGTGCCTGTTAACAGGGTCCTGGGTGTCTTCTTTAACGCTGGAGTGGGGACCCTTTCACAGGCAATTTAATCTTGGGAGCCGTGTAGGAGCGATGGGCAGTGGAGTGGGGTTTCAGGCCTGTGTGCCAGCCACTTCCCTGCCCTCTAGCTGCCATCTCCCACGGTTAAAAGGGACTTAGTTTTGGTTGTTAAGATCATTAATTTTTGAATGTTTTTAATATTTTAAGCTGACTAATGAATGATCACATTTTAGGTGATAGATGTGTACATTGTACACAGGAATGCTGGAATTGGTGGCACTCCAAGTAAGTGTCATCAGAGACAGTGCATCAGGGTTTACATGTCAGGTACAAAGTGCTAAGACTCCCTGAAACCCAGGTTTGTTATTAGGCAGGCTGTGTTCTCCTGGTTCCCTCAAGCAGAAAACAGTGTGGAGATCACAGTGTGCAGCTCTTTTTTATTTTTTTATTTTTTTTTATTTTGGTTTTTTGAGACTAGGTTTCTCTGTGGCTTTGGAGAGTATCCTGGAACTCGCTCTTGTAGAACAGGGTGGTCTGGAACTCACAGAGATCCGCCTGCTTCTGCTTCCCGAGTGCCGGGATTAAAGGTGTGCACCACCAAAGCCCGGCTGGTCTTTTTTTTTTTTTTTTTTGTTTTGTTTTTTTGGTGTGCAGGTCTTTTGTAGGAGAATGACAAACTCTTTGAGAGTGTCTCTTCAGTGAAGACTATCAGGACCCTGGATTCTTCCTGGCAGGCTTGCTTACCCCACACTGTGTGTTTTGCATCCAATAGCAGATCACCAGGAATGCATTATGCTGTGTTCCTTTCTGTATGAAGCTGCAGATCCTGGTCTCCCTCCCATACTGACCTTGCTCAGCTGACCAACTCGAAAGGTATTTTATAGTCCACCCCCCCACACACACACTTCCTCCCCAAGTCATTGTCAGGGACTCCAATATAACCACTGTTACAAGATTGCAGAGAAGAGAATTTAGTCTTCTTCAGGTTTTTTTGTTTTTTTTTTTTTTTGCTTTTTCCCTGTAGATTTAAAGGGATAAATAGTGAAATTACAAACTTCCCTAAAATCATTGAGTCTGTGGTTGGCAGAGTTATTCTGTTTTGCTTGTTGGGACAGTTGGTTCTGGTTTTTTTTCTGAGTTTATGCTTAAGTTTAAAATCAAACTAGCTACTGCCAATTGGGGGCACACTCATTAACTAGCCACTGCCAGTTGAGGGTGCACTCATTCACTAGCCACTGCCGGTTGGGGGCACACTCGTGGAGTGCACTCATTAAGAACTCAGTCTAAGGTGAGGAGTGGGATCCACACAAGTGGCTCAACAGTGGCGCCAGGAGATTATCGCCAGAATTCTCCATGGCTCGCTGCACTCGCACAACGTGTGCAATAAAGTTCCCGTCTCCATTTTACATTTTTGACATTGAGGCGGAAGATTTGGCCTGAGTTTATGTAATTTAGTTGGACACAAATATAACCCGTGTGTAGTCACATCCATCTTGTAATTAGAAAATGAAATGATACAGGCTAGGCTGCAGGCACACCATCATTGAACCCAGCCACAGCGTGCAGTGTGGGACCTCTGCAGAGGGAAAAGTCAGTTAATGAAAAGTGTCCAACAATAGACTGGTGAAAGGCCCAAGCTGAGCACCTTGACCGTTAATTCAGTGGGCAAAGATCTTTGCATTGTGGGTAAGGAGTTTTGGGAAATCTTCTACCATCAATGCATGAATCATAGGGCTATAAAATTGTAGATTGGACGAGTCTTTTACCCCCCCTTCAGTGTGCTAGTGTCTTGTGGGGAGGAGGAGAAGAGAGAAGAGTGGCTGGAGAAGTAATTAGTGAAAGAGGAGAGAGGTTTCCGTGTGTCACGCTTGCACGTAGCTGCTATCTGGGCATCTTTCTTACTCAGCACATTAAGTTGAGGCTATTAGTTTGGGTGCTTTATATTTTTGCATCTAGCGTAGTGATATCGATGCTGTTAAATATGTGATTTGCCTGTCGCCTGCATTTTCAGACAAAGATCGAGGGGAACATAAACAAGCCTCAGAAACACTTTATGTAGGTGTTTGGCAGGATTATTTTATATGACTTGAAATTAGTGAGTGGAAACTTTAAAAGAAATTGTTCATATTTTTGCAAGTTTGAAGTGTGCCGGGACTTTGTCAAATTCCCGTTAAAATAAATACGTCAATTTCATCTCCCTTCCAAATTCATTTATCTTGCTTTTTTAAAAGGTGTTTTCTACTTTACCTGATGTTTAAATTGGATTCGCTCGTTTATGCTGTTCTTTGCTATATCCCCCACGTTTTTCTTAAATGAATTACTAATGACAGAGCACTCCATCACTCCCTCTCTGCAGCCACTTTAAGGAAAGCATGGTGATCTAAACCTTTTAACCTATTAAAGATGATTTTTCCCAATTGAATCAGACCCACCACAGGTGTAATAACTAATCATTTAAACTACACCTGCTATTATGTATTTTTAAGCCATTATGCGTGTTGGATAGATGATAATTCATGTTTATTGCATTGTCCGATGGATCCGTTTTGCCTACACTAGGCTGATTAATGTATTTAAAGAAATAAGAGATGCAATTTTTAAAAAAAAAATTGATGGAATGCGCCAAGCACTGCATTGAGTGCACCATTAAACCCATCAGAACTTTGCTCTCTGACCAGAAATGCATATACCAAGGACTGTATTAAAAGAGCAAGGTGAAACCTGGGCGTTTTAGTGGTGAGGTTCTGTATTCTTTCTCTGTCACGGGGAATTTTGGAAGGATGCACGAAGGCTTTCTCTTTGTATGGGTGAACGATGGGAACTGTGCAGTTCACATCTCCTGCCCAAGACCTGTCCATCCACATTTCCTGTGACACCTGGTCCACACAGCACAGCCACAGAGGCTGCCATTTTCCAGCCGTAGAAGGTGTGTGATTTCCTCAGGTGAAGAGAGTTCTACCTGAGTCACCTGTGCTGTGCAGATTGGTGTTGACCTGCGGGCCTGTGATGTGTACCTGTCCCTTCTCTTTCTGGAGTGTAGCACCCCTCCCCCACTTTCCTCTTTCCTTTCCCTTCCTCTCTTTCCACCCCCCCCTTTCTCTTGTGTCTCCTTTGGACTTTTCTTGTTTCTCCTCCCTCCTGCCCCCCCCCCATCTCTTCATCACAATATTGTAGAGGTTTGTTAGATTTTTTTTTCCCCACTGTAACTGGAGGTGATCTAGTTGAGAGGTAAATGTCAGTTTTGGCGTTCTACAATCTCCACACTGAATTTTCTGTAGCTTAGAACTGTGGTTGTCCTGCAGTTTGCAGTGTTGGGGAGGGATCATCATCTATAGGGAGCTGGGCTTGGCTCTTGAGATCAGTAGTATCTCTGGACAGGTCTAGCTCTGGAGGGTCAGGATGCTGAGCCTGGCCTTTAAGGAGAAGCTCAGGGTAAGCCTCCCACTAAGGGGTTGTCGGGAGAACGAGGCTTTCCCTGGCTTTTGGCCTTTTCTCCTCTTTCTTCCTGATCTGCCTTCATTTCTTTTGCTCCTGGGAACACTGGTGTCAGGATGTGATGTGCAGCCTGAACCCTGCTCACAGGTACAGCCTGGCTCTCCTGAGTCTTGGCTCAGGGGGACTTTAGTCCGGGATCACAGGGACACCCTTACTTCTGGCCCCTGAGAAGTGAACTGCATTGGCCTTTCCTTGACAGGAGACCATGGTGCTTTTCCTTTGGTTTCAATGAGGTGAATAGTGCCGGTCGTTCTAAGTAGCCCCTGTCCCACTGGAGCAGCTTGGCACTCCCTGCCCTGGAGGACCATGTTTGCTGTGGATAGCAGTCGGGCGGTATAAACACATGCCTTGCATGTGCTGAGTGTGGGGGCTGATACCTCTTCTACCCCCTACTTATTTGTATATATGAAGATTTAATAAGTAATATTCATACCAGTCGTAGGGAGATATCCTGTCAGTTTGTTGGCTTATAGCCAGGGAATCCCAAACTTTGCCCTTTGAAGGCTCATCAGAATTCAGCTTTACCGCATTGGTGAGACCAGTGTGGCCAGCTGTGTGTGTCTTCTTTCCAAACCCCTTCAGCTCCAGTGCTTTGCCAGGTCCTAGATAGGGAGCATCGTCTCTTCCCTGCCCTTCCTTACCTAAGGTGTAGTTGGGAGGCAGCCTGAACATGAGAAGACAGTCTAATTATGTCTTCAATTATATGGTGCACACTACAGCACTGAAGAACTGAAGAGGGTGGGAAGATCGGAAAGGCTTTAATGATTTAGGGAAAGCTCTGAGGAGTCAGAACAGGCTGTATATGGCACGCTCTCTCTCTCTCTCTCTCTCTCTCTCTCTCTCTCTGTCTC